CATTTTTCTTGTTTTCTCAATGGGAATGAACGAGGAGCAAAACAGAGAGGAAAACAAACACAAATCGCCATTTGTGCCCTCGTGTCACTGCATTTCATGTATCTGTAGCGTTATCCTGCAATTGCCTGCATCTGCCTCTGCCATAGCCATTTGCATAGCATTTAATTATGTAATTTTAAGGACTTTTACTCCGTATTAGGCTAAATTAAAATGCCGTGGCACCCAAACTGTCTGCTTGCTGTACCTCTCTGAGACAGCGTTCCCTGAGGGAAAGCTGCTCTGCAGTAAACATTTTCTGAAATGTGCTTACTGTTCTTTCTTAAATCCGAGTGGTATCAGAAAGCATTACCTTAATGTATAGCAAAAATATAGCAGCAAACTTTTTAAAAGAAGCCTTCAGTGCTGGAGTTGCCAGAACTCTTATTTTGTTGGGGTAGTATTTGTTTAAAGCTGACCACCTCAAATTATTTGCCACTGGCTTTGATGATTTTACCATTCACGGAATGAGATGTGCCTTATGTATCCAGTCTTTGTGTAGCTCTTGTTTTGCCTAACAGATTTAAAATCTGTGAAAAATGAAGTCCCTTATACAATTTAGCAGAGAAATAATTATTAGGGAGTAAATCCTTTTGGGATTTATAATTATACACTGACCAGTAAACATGTGAAAATTAACAGAATTTGACTGACTTCCATTTACCTGCTCCTTTTTGAAAAGACAAACACAGCCTCAGAAAGCATTATTGCAATTAGTGAGAATGGAGCATTGCTACATGCAGAAATGCCCACTCATCAGGATTTGTTCTGACCAGCTCCTCTTTGCTAGCAGGCAAAGAGTTTTCAGAGTTGTTATGAAGCTTATTTATGTGCTTCTATTTTCTCTGCATGAATTCAGAAAACAGATAGGAAAAAATCCTAATGTAAAGTATAATTTATGATAATTTTTTGGCACTGCAAAGGTTTATCACAGAAAAATTTAAATATCGGAGCTTCATTTCATACTCGTCTGCTGTCGCATTGGAGTTTAACTGCAGGACTTCTTTCTGAAAATGCTAATTGGATTTTCAACAGGATGTTCATGAGTAAAAGATGGTGCTACACAGTGAGACTTTTTTCTTTCCTTTTTTTTTTTTTTTTTTGCTTTAAGTAGTTTTGCTTAATGAAATGTATAAAAAGTCTTCTATTGTTCTGTCAAAATAGAAATAATGTGCTTACTCTGTTTCCTGCTGTGATCAACCAATCTGGTAATTTAAATAAATGTGCCATAATGTTGAACACCGGGAGGACTAGAAAAAATCATAAGGAAAACACCCACATTTACACTTAATAGATGGCCTTTTGAGCTCATTTTAAATTTAGTGCTGTCCTTCCTTGCTGAAAACAAAAACAAATTTCCTGAGGATAGTATCAAAACAGCAAAAGTACATCAATTAAGCCACAAGATACAACAGGGCATATTTTAATGGGCCATTAGTCCTGGGGTGTATTGTGAAGTATCAAAGTAAAGGACAGATTACTTAAAGTGCCACAAAATATATTAATGATTCATTAAAACATGCCATGTAAACAAATGGTCATGTTATAACTTAGTGGCCTGATGGTACAGTCATTTTGGTGGTGTATTAAAGGAGGAAACCTACAAACAGCAGGTTAAGAATTGGGTTCTGCCTATTAAACTGATGAGTAAAATTTTTTAAAAACACAAAATGCATAGTATGTACTTAGATTAACACAGTTCTCATTAACAGCTTCCCAGTAATATTCCTCCATGGGTGAGGGAAACGTATGTTTTATTGAGTGAGTAATTTTTGAAAGCAGCAATTTGGTTAAATTCCTGGTAATGTGGGTTTTTCAAACCACTTGGGACCACAGAGTCAGATCCTGATCTGAAATATAAAGGCTTGAAGGATAAGCAGAGCCCTGTGATCGTTGTGTCTGATGTCACAGCATTGCAAAGGACAATTTCCATGGCTCTGCTCCTTAGGCTGTGAGCCCAAGTAGCTCCCTGCAGCTTGTTTTCATTCAGCTCCTGGATGGTTTGTAACGTCCATGAGGACAGCTTATTTTGGAAATTGCTGAAATCTCAAAATGTTTTTGAAATGTCAGCACAAGGCATCAACAGAATGGCTCTTGGCATGGTGTTGTCATTGTGCAAGGCTGAGAGTGGTCTCGCAGGATGATGGTGGCTGACTGCTCTCCTCAAATGTGGAGCTGTGTCATTGACTTACAGCCTGCCTAACAGCACTGGTTCCTGGCAGGGCATAAATATAGGGTGGGCCTTCATCGATTAACTCCAAGACTTGAGGAGTTAGGCCAGTAACTCCAGGATACTCTTGAAGACAGGTTGTTCCAGGGCTTTAAAATGTGTGGTTGGTTCATTAATGTGTGACAATTGAGGAGAGACCCCCAGACTACATGCTCCTGACAAATGGGTCAGGCACATACTCATGCCACACTGGCGTTTGCCTGTTATGGGATGTTTCCTATACGGCACTATTAATGGAGGGGCTGGAACCTCACAGACCTACAGGAAAATCTTGCTTGCTCTGGGTGTTTTCAAATATCCTCTTGGTTGTTTTCTGTAACCAGAACACTAAATGCCCTTTTCAATTTGAATAAAAGCCCAAATCAGCAAGTCCCTTGAGCACGTCCCTAACTGTTAATGAGACCCTGTTCAGTGAGAGGCATTGCAAACGAAGCCAGGAGAACATCTGGTGGAAATCCAGCCGCTAACAGCAGTGAGAGTTGGGTCAGGCTCGAAACACTTGAGCACAACTTCAGTGTGTGTTACAGCACTGGTTTTGATTTATGCTCTGTATTTCTGCAGTCAGATTGCTCTTTTGGCTTTTTGCTGCTATTCAATGCCTGCTCAGCTGAGGCTCTTCCCATCAAGAGCATTAAGTGACCCCCTGCAAACTAAGGAAATGCTTGGAAAATATAGATCCAGATCCATTTCTTTATTCTCAGTTTACGCAGTCTCTGTGTTTGTAGAGGAGTCTAGATTTAAAATTTTCAAGGGGTGGTTTTCATTTATCTTTAATAGACATTCAAACAGTATGAAAACAACTTCTAGGTGGGGTGACAGGAAACAAAATTTCTGTCCACAGTTGGTTCTTTAGTACAGGTGCAAGTGTCTAACCTAGCTCTAGTGGGTGTAGTTCAAAGGATGGCTCTTTCTGATTATTTCTTCTCATGGAAAGACTTGTAATAAACTTTTTCATTTGGCTGCATCAATTCACAGCAAATGGATTGCAGTGAAATTTAACATTGCAGCATTCTCCTGCGTAACACCCTCCCTTACACACTGGGAATCAACAGCATATAATGGGCATTATACCCATGTCTCCCAAGAAACCATTTGCACTCTGTAGTTGGTCCATCATTTATATGGATCAAGACGATAAAAAAGAGAAAATAAAAAAACACATTGAAAACAATGTGGGCTGCATGTAATTTCTTCTTGATGGCTTTTAATGTATTACTGATCTTAACATATGGTAAATAGCACAGGTTCTTTCTTTTTAGTAACGCTGCCTCTGTTAAGGCATTTTTACCCTATCTTTAAACGGTGTGTGTTCTTAAGCCTCCACCTACTGAATATCTATAATAGAAAGGTATAAAGAGAGCTATTTAATGTGTGGTACTTAGCGTGCATGCTTCAGCTACTCCAGAGCACAAAGAGATTTGTGAAACTGTTGTTTGTAAAAACATGCTAAATAAAAACTTTATTTTAAAAACAAGGGGCACCACCAGGAGTAATTGCTGGTGCTGGTGCCTGGGATATACAAATGGCTTGCTGGTAAATGTTGGTGCTGATAAGTGAGATGACCTTTCATTTGGTCACCTTTAAAACATAAGATCCTAAGGAAAAAGGTGAGCTGTATATTTTCAGACCCAGTTTCCTTTTGCAAAACCAGAAATTATCCAGTACATTTTTATTAAATCATAACTCCTTCCTCACCTTTGCTTTTGTATAGATGGCTTTCAGTTTCTTCTTATTTTTTTTCCCTCCTATTGGGGATGGAAAGTATTCACTGAAAAGTTAATTTTTTATTTTTTTTTTCCATACACTACCTCCATTTCCTCCTGGCTCTTCTGTTTCCCCTGAAAACGTTCAGCATTCCTCCTAAGTGCTTTGCTTCTTCAGAGCTCTGTACCAGTATTTTTTTCTCTTGCACTTCTGCTGCTCCTTTCCCCTTTGCAGAGCTCCGTTCATTACGTTTCTGTCTTTCCCCTTCTCTGAATTCAGTATTAAAATTCCCAGTGCCTCCTCTTGGAGCCGGGCTGACCCTGTCCTGCTGCTTGGGACGCAGCTCTCTCCCCTTTAAAAGGCTGTGAGCTGTGCTGCAGACTTCCCTGCTCTGAGCAGCCTCTTCTTTGACCTTCTAATGTGTTAAAGGTTGCATATAGCATGTAACGTAACATAAAATCTCACCTGCAAAGCAAACCAAGTAATTATTATCTAACCTTGGTGCTCGGCAGGGTCAGCAAGAGGCAGCTGTTACCATCGGTGTGTGAGGGTGATGCTGGAGTGCTGCTCTCGGTTAGCTCTGTAAAACAGTGGGAAAATAAACACTCTGGGCAGCAGCCACGTTTCTCTTTTTAAGCTGAGAAGTATGTGTGTACTGAAGAGAAGTGCAGCAGCACAGTGAAGGTGTTATCCAGCTTTGACAAACAACTTGCTCTGATGTGAGCACTGAACACTGGGAGGCTGCTGGATTGCTGTGTGGGGTTTCCAGGGTGGAAAACTGGTGTCTGGGTGTCTGTTGTTTTTTTTCTTATACCTCTTGACCTGAGAAATGACATCCAGCCTCACTTGCTAGCTAATTGCTGTCCATTGCCATCTTCTGAAATTGTTTTAAAAAAACAGCCAAACAAAAACCAGAGTCAGCTGCATCTTTTGTTTTGGTAAAGGCCAAAAATACATGGACTCAACATTTTCTCAACTTCTTTGAGAAGAGTGAACTCATTCCCATTCTTGCTTCTCTTTCTTTCCTCAGGACGTACAGCCCTCTGCTCCTCTGAAGCACGGCTGGATACAGCACACTGCGAACAGCACTCCAGCCAGCCCCCGCGTGCTACCAGCTGTGAGAGAGGGCAGCAGCTGCACCTCTCAGCCATACAGCAACTGCAGCAGGCCCTGAAAAATAAAATTTTATAACTCCCACTGACAAGAATTAATCCAGGACAGTTTCTGCTTCTAGCGTGCATAAATGTTCCTCTTCAAAACCAGCTTTTCGGCAAGCCTATCAGCCTGGAAGGTGTTCAAATGATTAATTTTTCGAAGACTGATGGTGCTAGGAATCCAGGAGATAGTGGTATGGGTATCATCTCATCTCAAGTATGAAGCTTGTACCTGTATTGTAAGAAGGGAGAGTTCTGGGAGACTATGGAAATTTTAATAGTTTTTTTTTTTTTTTTCCCTGCTCCTGTAGTTCCCTGAGCCAGATAAGCCTCTGAGGCTTTTCAAATCTCAGACAGCTTCTGGTGTTATAAGTACTTCTTAATCACATATTTTGGAGAGGCTATAATGGCCCAGTGATTTCCTAGGTTTGTAGGCCAGAAGGCATCGCTATGATCATCTACTCTGACCTCCCCTAGAGATGCAGGAATCGCAGGGTGAAATTCTATTAAATGGATTAAACAGTAAATGTAAAATTAAAATGATTATCAGTTTTGATATTTTTTTCTTGGTACTGGACCAGGACTTAAGGTAGTGAGGTTGCACGATGCAAAATTGCTCAATTTCCATGTTTTTTTCTTATACTGTGTTGCAGAAGAGAAGCCTTCTTCCTTACCATTTAGCAAGCATTGGCTTTTTTTTTTTTTTTTTTTGGCTTCTACTTCGATATGGAAATGTAATCTTGTTGGTGGGTATTAGGATATCTGTGCTTTAGCAACAGCTCTGTGAGATCATCCCTCTCGTGGCCCTGCTTACAGCCTGGGATATCGCATGAACACAACACATCACTTACCAAAGATGACAGAGGGCACATGTACAGTTTCTTTAAGATCCCAGAGTATATCTGATGCCTACATTGTATCTGCCAGCTTGTGTAAGACTGATATTAACACCAGTGTAAAACTGAATGTGTCCCAGCATTGGGGCCAGGATCACTTAGGTTACCTGTGAGCCACAAAAACAGAGCAGTCCTGGAAGCACCTTGTCATGTCCCAGCATAATGATCACCTTTTTTGAGCCCCCTGGTTCTTTTCACCTACTGTTTACTCTGGAAAGGATCAGATATCATCACTCTTCCCATTACCTTTGTGGTAGGTTTTGTTTGTTTGTTTGTTTGTTTGGCAGTGCAATAGGTCATGCACAGCAGCTTAGGTGCAGCTGTTAAGCTGGTTGCTTTAAAGCAAATGGTACCAATCTAGTATTATGATAGTCATAAGGTAAAAGTAACTCTCAGATGAACATAGCCTGAATTCCAGTAAAAGTGAAGTCAATACCAGGGCAACTTAAAGTATAGTATTTGCTTCTCCTGCAATTGATTGTGCATTTTCTGCCCCTCCTGGCTTAGCAGAGGTGATTTACAGCCAACGATTCACGTTGCAGAGAGGATCCACTCTAATTCAGCAAAGAGATTCATCAGGAAAGATCTGAAGAGTGACCCCAGAGTTACTGGGTTTTGTGAATCTCTCTGAAACTGCTGTGGAAAAATGAGCTTCCTGATGGTGTTACTCCATGGATTCAGACAGCCTAGAAACAAAGATGACTTTGGTTTTGCCCTGGTTGATGGAGTAGCATGTGATATAGTGCAGAAGGAGTCTGTGCTGCTCTGGCTTCCCCTCAGGTGCCCGCTTCCAAAATACCCATGGGCTTCATCATCTGATTTAATACATTTCCTTCAGCAACACCAATATTGTGTGTATATCTACCAAGAGATGCAAAACGTGCTGGAATTGCAAGAGGTGCTCACTTGAATAATCACTTAGGCTAATGCAAAAAGGGTTATGAATTAACAGGCTGGAAGAGTAAACAAGATTAGAGCTAAGTGCTTTTTGGGGCTGTGTAAAAAATAATCAAAGGCTAATTGCAAAGGAGTGGGTGAGGCAAGCCCATAAATTAGCAGGGGTGAGAGTGGAAAATGGAGAGGCCAGGTAGTAGGGTGGTCAGGTAAAACAAGCAGTGAAGGACAGAGGGCGAAAGAGACGGTGGGTGTTTCAGTAGCTAGAAAACTCGCAAGAGCATAGCGTAGTGATTAAATAGTGTGTATAGCAGAGAGCATATCATAAGAAAGAATAAAAAGTAGACATGGGATAAAAGATTACACTGAGTAGGTAAGAGATCAGAAAGGCGGAGAAAGTGAAATCACAATATCTGAAGCTGAGAATTAATATCTACGGTAGTATTTAGGAAAGAATAGGGGAAAAATTAAAATGGAAGATACTCATAAATGAGTGAAAAAATGAAAAGAAAATAGGGGAGAAAAATTAGTACCTTGCTATGTAGAAACTAAAAGGATTTTGTGTTTTACAGGTGCTGAAGGGTCCAACAAGCAGGAAAGATATCAAACATCCTTCCACAGTCCTCAGACAGTTTGAGGAGCAGTGACTTTCATAAAGCTCTCTATAGTGCAAACTGGAGAGCCAATGACAAAAGGTATTTTCCACAAACAGCCTGAGCATCAGGCTGTGTTTTCCAACCTTGAGCATAAGTCATGGCTGCTGTCATTTTTGTAGTCTCCATTGTACTAGAAATCTGTAAGTCTCAACACAGCAAGTCACAGAACAATAGGAGCCCTGCATATGCACATATTACATCGTGCAGTGTACTTCATCCTGTTACATTTAACTGCCTTTCTGACAACAGTTTTTTAGCAGCATCACGTTTCCAGGAGAAAGGAGTTGAAAGCTGAGGAACAGGAAGGCTAAAGATACTGAAGCTGTTGGTTTAAGTGTAGACAGCTAGTTGGAAAGCTTTTATTTCTGGAGTGCCCTGGAAGGTGTATAGGGTCTGGCATTTTAAGCTTTCAAAAGCAAATCAGCTCTTCCAAATGAAGGCCATGAGCACCTACAGTATCCCAAATGAGAAGAAGCCAAAAAAAAAAGAAGCTGAGCATTTGTCTGCAAGTCCAGCCATATCTTTACCTGAAGAACTTCAACCTCCACTTAGGTGTTTGGTTTTTTGTTTTGTTTTGTTTTTTAATACAGTTTTCTGGACTTAACGGATAATATCCTGTTGCTATTAATGATTTATTGCTAAGATGAAAAGGGGTTGGAGAATGCATGAAATATGTGGTGAGAAAGAGAGAGAACTATAGAGAGATATAGGTCTTGCATCTGTAATAGCTGAAAAACAGACACATCCAAGGCTTACAGGGTTCTTGCTTCTGTCTACTGACAGCTTTGGTTCACGTCCTTCAGGTCAGTGTGTGATTTTTGTTCATGGTGAGAGAAGCAGGATTATTTTACAGTTTGTTTCCTCTGATGAAGTATGGAATAGCACTTCAGAGCTAACTCAAAACTCAAATAGTCTAGAAGTAGCAGAATTGTCACCTCTAAATCCCCAGTGATCTCTCCTCCTTTCCCCTCCCTGCCTTTTCATCTGCTCCCTCCCATTCCTTCCCTGTGCTCTGAGGTGTTTGCTCTGAATCTGAACAAATGTTACAAGTGATGTATGCTGTCTAAATACAAGTTTCTCTTCTGACTTTGGGCAATAGGTAGTAAAGCGATTAGGCTGAATAGTTATAAGCTTAATAGTGGATATAGTACCAACACACAGGAGCTGTTGTTGACTGAACAAGTATCAAAGCCTATTGATTAGCTGTTACATGGATCTTAATAAAACTATCATTATTAATTATGATGGAAAAAGTACATGTCTCCAGGTAGCAAGTTACCTTTTATTCTCAATTTGTTGCTGAGGCACAGTAGATAATTTGTAAGTCATGTTTGTGCTTTGAGACAGAAAAGAATCTAACTTTGCTGCATTATTTCAGACTGAAGGGGACATCTTATTGTCTTCCCAATTTCTACTGCAAGAAATCGTTACTAATATTTGTGAGCAGTTTTCCACATAGAAATCACTGATTTTATAACCTCTGTAATATAGGAGAGCAGTAATCTGTTTTTCAATATTAGGTCAAGTTGCTCTCATCTAATCTTGTGTGTTCCTTTCTTACAGTTTCTGTGCCAGAAATTGTAAAAGGAAATGCTCTTATAAAAGATACGTTTATTGAGGGAAGATTAGTTGTTTGGCTTTATTGACGGTGTTGGGGATATGAAACATGTTTTCTAAAGCCATTGGTTAGAGCTAACCCTTTCTTATGGCTACAGGTATAAAATACCAGATATATTATTCTATATTACACAATGTGAAAATGATAATGTGTATGTAATCTTAGACTTCTAAAAGTGATTCTCTGTGAGGTGAAATATGTATGACTTTTCTTATAATAAACCCGTGGGCTTAGGCTGCTTTTCTATATATTGCATAATTTAGATAAAGCACTGTTATGTGAATAAAATAAAATAAGCAATGGCACAAAATAAAATACTGGGGGGAGGGGACTATTTCTAATCATAAAGTGGATAAACTCCAATACCCCTCTGTAAGGTACATTGAACCTTTTTGTTCATGTGTCATATATACAAGAGATCTTCCAAATTAGTTCTCTTGTCCTCTGTGTCCTCAAACCGTGCCAACGGAGCTATTATTTTAGAAGGAGATTCAGCTGCCTTTTAAACTTGCAGCTCAGAATTCAAGATATTCTTACTTTACACTTTCTTTACTCTTCCCCTGTCCCCTCTCAACAGGGGCAATGCTGGAAGAAGTGAGTGTCTCTGTGGAGCAATACTGATTACTTTCTGTGAGAGTGCCAAGGAATGAAGGAGCTACAAATGCATATTGAGGTTCCTCAACAAGATATGATGCAAAATCAACGAATCTCAATGTATCTTTTTTAAGCTTATGGCACAGTTTTCCTTTTCTTTGGCATTTGGGAGATGTCCTTAGCTGAAATAAATCCTCAAAAGTGATTTGCAACAAGCATACTTATGTCAGCTTGGACCAGGAGACCCTCTGCCTTTTCCATCAGCCTGGTCTGCAGATCCAGTTACTGCTCCTGGTGGTCTTGGCTTGACTTTCCTTTTTTTTTTTGGTAATCTTTTCAGCCCTCTGACAATAGGGAAGCTTCCTACCTACCTGACTGGTCTTGTTACAGTACGTCCTGCACAAATACAGGTTGTTAAGCTGTGTTTGTGTTTTTCTATTTTTTGCCTCCAGGTATTGCCTCTGAACAGGGGTGGTGGTGGAAATACAGCTGTGGAGGCAACTGCAGTAGTTTTACTTCATGTTCAGAGTTTAATTTCAGGCTTGGAGCATGAATTAGGAGCATAACTGCTGTTAGTCTTGTTTTTAAGACAAACTGTTTAGTAGTTTGAAGTCAGGTTTATTGCTATCTCTGTTCCTAAAGGCCTGGTTGTGCTATTCTGACCTAGAGAAGTACGGATAGGAGAAGTGGAGTTGTAGTTGCCTTTTTTTTTTTTTTTTTTCCTGCCCTGTAAATTTTGCACAGAAAAAAAGTAGAAATTGAGGATCTGTGGACCTCATGCTCTCTCTCTTAATGTTGATAAGAAAACTATACTAGTATGGTAATTAAATAATCAACTATTTGTGATATTTTCTTTAAGTCATGGGCTTTAATGATAAGAAAATTCAAAGAAACTGTATAAACATGACTCTCTTCATAGTTTTTATTTCTTTTCTGGTTTCTACCTGCAGGCAATTTACCTGCCTTGTATTCAAACTGTAGTCTAAGAAGCTGCACTCTCTCCAGTCTCCTGCCAGTAATTGTGCTCTCCATGTTCCTGCTAACGAGAAGAATGGCAGTCTCTTGTCCTTCTGTTTTCCTCTTTCTTGCTGCACCTACAGCTCCACATGTGTTTTGTTGCATTTTTAATATAGATTAGTCCATCTACTCCATAAATGAGTATCCTTCCAAACTGTATTCTTCAACTTACTTCAATGAAGTTTGTTGACAAATAAAAACATTATTAGAGCAGAGAATGAAGGGTGGCTTAATGCAAGGTGTCTGAAGCTTAATTCTGTTATATTCATTCACTATAGTTCAATTACAGATACAATTTTACAAATCACTGCTTGATTGTGTAATATGAGTTCTCCTTTTCACTTTTGACCAGCCAGTATTAATTCTGTGGGTTTGCTTACTTTTTTTTTTTTTTTTTTCAATCTTCTTGATTCAGCTGTGCATTAAGTGGCTTTGAAAAGCTAGCTCAAATAATAAGCCTAGATAATCAAAGCCGTGCTAACATCGGCTTAATTCGCTCGTGCAGGGACCTAGCACGGAGAGCAGTGACTGAGAGCTGTGCGCTTCTGCCAAGCCCTGCTCACGTCGTCACTTCAGGAGGCTTATCTTCAGCTGCAGAGGGCCAGGCTGAGCCTTCCTTTCTCTGCAAGTTTTTGCTCATCCCATTTTTGGTTCAGATATGGCTTGCTTTGTACTACACATTCAGTTGATGGAGTCCTAGAGCTGATGGAATCAGGGGAAGGAAAAGAGGATGAATACATGTACATGCTGTAATTTTGTATTGTGTTTTGGGGAAGAAAGCATTTATCTCATTATTTGCTCAGATATTAGTGCTGGAATAGAAAATCACAATAGCAATACAGTTCCCTGTGCACCTGACAGCTGTAGCAAGGCATGTGCTGCTTGCCATGCTGAGGGTGCCTCTGACAATTAGACTTATTTTTAAAGGGGAGGAAATCACTCAGATTTTTGTTCTCATCTTAGGTAGATTCTAAGCCTCTGCTTCCATATCTTTTACAATCTTTTGTCATGTCTTCCCTTAGAAATCCGTCTCTGAAGGTAAACAATCTAAGGCTTTTCCATCTCTATTTCCGTGAGATCTCTGCTCTGCTACTCTCTGTAGGGCTTTTTTAGTGGTGCTTATCAGAACTGTGGTGGGCAACCGTAGGGTGTGAAGGAAAGATGTTATTCTGGTGAGTAGTTGGTGCTTTGTTTGTGATGGAGGTTTGCTGTTTTAAAGTACACAGTGAGCTTTTAGGGCATAGTTACATCACTGCAGTAGGATCCTTCTGTTAGGACTACTTTTGTGGGCAAGGGGTTTAAAAATTATCCCCTGACAGAAATATTTTCAAGAGAGAAAATGGGATTTTCTATGTATTTGAGATGTGCATGCAATACCATTAGTGTATATGCAGATGCTTTCATTAAAGATATATGTTAAAAAATGCAGCTCTAGGTCAAGAATTTGAGAACTGTGAAAATCTAAATTTACAGTTCTTTGTGCAATCTTAATTCTATGCATGCTGGATTTTTTCCAACACTTATCTTCCAATGCTGAGCTCTTATCTTGCTCAAAGCCCACTATTTGGAAAAGTAATTCAGCTCAAGGAATTCAAAAAATTTGTTATAAACCTGAAAGGGCAGAATAAAGGCTGCATAGCAGCATAAAAATCTGCCATTTCCTAAGTTGAAGTGTGTGATTTGCAATCGAAATATTTTATTGACATTTATTCTGGGTGATTTCCTAGTTGTTTTGTTAAAGGCAAAGGCTCTCAGGAAGAGGAGGAAGAGGAGGACTCTGAGTGAGTTGAGTTTCTCTGATTTTTTTGCA